ACCAACCACAAAATCTCAGAGAATCCTCATCAATCTCCTATAGACGGTTATTTCATTCCTATAAATTTCATGGCTAGTCAAGCATCCAGTTATCCTCAATTACTCTACTCTAAAATCTGGACTATTTCTTTTTAATTTCCATCTAACACTCACATAATTCTCAACAAGTTTACTGATTTGACCGTCGGAAGGTTTTCGGTCGGCACAACACCTATGTCTACTTAAAATCTAACGGTCTTTTCTTATTCTACTTTTCTTGAGTTTCGTAGGATTGCTAGTATCCCAATCGATCTGATTTTCTCTATTTGTAAAACTTCTGTCTTCAAATACCGTTTTGAAGAAGTTCGGCCAAAAATGATAAATTTTATTATTATTATTATTTTATTTATTTTTATTTTTTTTATTTTTTATTTTTTGTGAAATACTCAAGTTTTTCATTCAAGACAATATCAAATACTCCTTGAATTTTACGACAATATTAAAGACATTTTTTTCAAATTTGAAAAAAATAAAATATACTGGCCTTTTATATTTTTGATTTTGAGTATTACATACACTATCTAACCAATTTTTGAGTCATATCAATATAATGGTTTATATAATAGTTTACGAACATGATATGTTGAGATATGATTGGATCAACATTTCTCAACCAAATAAAATAAAATAAAATAAATTTCTCCACTCTTTTTTGGACACCTCATCTGATGTACATAATTATGTAACTCAATTATGTGGTTTTACTTAAAATATTATTGTGAAGAGAAAAGATAAAAATTCCTACAATTTATTGGAATTTAATTTATTCCATTTAATAATAAATTAATACTTAATGACTCTGTGCTAATTCTAAATATACATGTTATGGAAATTTAAACATAAAAGTATTGAAAATTTGGTAATAAATTATTATTTTTAAATCAATTACATGCATATTATAATATTAAAAAATACGAACTTATATTGAGGGATGGCAAATAAGGTTGTTGGTTCAAGCAAGCAGCTGCTCGACCCAAAAAAGGATCAAGCTAGCCCAGTTTGTGGCTCAGTAGGACAGAGCCTAAACTTGGGTCAAGCCTAAATTTCAGGACTCAGCTCGATCTTGAGCAGGCCTATGAGGCTGGTCGAGCTGCATGGGTTGGCTCATGAAAATGGTCCGTGTCACAGGCTTAACCTGACTCGTTGCCGACCTTCAATTTTTTGTTCTATTAATATTTAATTTAAGATTTAAATCAATAAAGTATAACTTATATATAATATATGTTTATATAATTAATATTTATAATTATCCTACGACTATCTATATTTGTAATTTATTATCAAATTCATTAGTTTTTCCATTATATTTTATTATATAGGAATTAATATAATATTATTTACTATTTTGTGGTGTTGAAACTTAAAAGACATTTTTGTTCCAATAATTTTAATTCTACAAGTGAATATCAGAATGTTTATACACATGAAAAATCGTACTCCAATTTATATATTCTCGCATCTGTTATCTATATGAATTTTTTTTTTTTTATTGTATTTTAGTATAGAAGAAGAACATGTTTGACTTTTTATACGAGTATTTCATGAATTTAGGAAAAAAAATTAATTTGTGTGCTAGCTTGGCTCAACATCGGTTCGGTAAAGTCCAAGCCCAAGTCCAAGCCAAAAGCTTGAGTCAAGCCTCCAAAATTTGGTCGTGCTTCGTCTCGGCTCGACGCGGAATAAAAAAGCTCGGGCTTTTTTTTCTCTTATCGGGCTACACACGAGTTGTGAGTTTCAACTTGCAAGTCGGCTCGATCCGACTCTTTGACATTCCTACTTAATAATAAAATTCATATTTAAACATGTACTTTTTATAATTCCGGTAAATTTAACTAAAAGTAGTATAGTTTGGTGGATAAATATACATGTATACATGTACAAACACATTGTTACAAACTGAATTACTCATTCTCACAAAAGAAGCGGGCCGTACATGAATTTAAAAAATGTTGGCCTATGACCCCCATCCCCATTGTAAGTGTAAGTAAAACTTTTTATACAAATTTTTGTGTACATCTAACATGGTCCTAGTCAGTACATCGATATTAAAATACTTTAAAATAATATCATAATATACCATTTCATCATTTCCAGCATGTTTGAAAAGTATTAACAATTTAAATTACAAATAGACGAACCGAGTGGTAAATAAGTGAATGACAATTGTTTATCTCTCAAAATGAGTAGATAAAAAATACTCAAGTATTTATGCTAAAAGAATTACATTATTAATTGGAAAAGTTAATTACTTTTTTTTACATAAATTAAAAAAATTCATATATAAGCATATTTGGCAAAAAAAAAAAAAAAAAAAAAAAATTCTACGTAAGAGCAATATTTGACGGTAACCTTAAAATAGAGGAACCAGTTGACAATATGAAAAATCAATCATACTTTGTTTTAATTTTATATTTTTCTGGTTCAAAGCAGCTTTTACGGTGAGACGGTGGAGCACATGGGAATCCCAACATAAAATCCCATAACAGCTGTCACCCCCATGTGATTCGTGTTTCTCCGCAATTCAAGCTCTCATCAGCATCCCAATATCAGAATTCAAGATATTGCATCATTGGTGCCTCATATATTTCTCGATTGGCAAGTTAGTCCGAAACTTTTAGAAATAACAGATACTTTATAGTGTTTGTTTGGTACGGATTTTGTTAATTGATTTTTTGATTGTTAAAGGCAAAGTGGATTCTATCTGTAAGAGAAAAACTCAAAAATGATGATTGAAATAGTAAAATAACTGTCAAAAAATTGATTTTAATTCTACCTGTAAGAAAAGAATTCAAAAATGACGATTGAAATAGTAAAATAATGATCAAAAAATTGATTTTAACTGGATTAAAATCTTTACCAAACATTTGGTTCAAATTCAACTTAAATTGTTAACCTATATAAAAACACATGAGAATGGCATAAAGACTGGAATAGTTTTGGAAAATTTTTTAATAAAAATTTGATCTGCAGTCAAATATTTATCAAATGGGTTATTTTTAAGTCATATAAAATGACTATAGTTTCTTTTTATAATTTCTTCAATAATTTTATTTGTACATTCGAGGGTTGACATCCCGGATAACACTCCTCTCACATGGTCGTAACTCATGATAATTTTATTACACTCCCGTTTGGCCCCCATTCTTTCCACATTTTAATGGTTGGAATAATATTTTTTTGAAAAATGTGTAGTTGAAAAAGAATGAAAAGTTTTTTATTTGCGTGTAATATTATTTTATGAAAGATTGTGTGGTTAAAAATAAGAGAGAGAAAAAATGAGAAAGAGAACGGAGGCCGAACGGGGACTAGGTGTGGACGTCACGCCATATGAGAGTAGTGTCATTCGAAATGTCAATCTAAATGTACATATAACATAACTCTTTATTCTTTAGATATCTCAAAGAGATTATTTAAAATATGATATGCTTTCTATTTTAAATAATCAACTCTTAAAATAATGCTCCAACATTGGCTCTTCAAACTCACTCCTTATAATTAAATACATTAAAAATATTTCAATTTTCAATGTAAGAAAATAATAAAATAATCTAAAGAAAAATTACTTAAAATAAATGTAGAGAAAATAATAAATATTTTTAAAAATAGTAAAATTAAGTATTAAATATAAAAGCTTGTTGGAGTACTTTAAAATTTTAACTCTCTAAATTTATAAATATTCTTCAAATGATAAAATATACTCCTTAAAAATAGAAAGTCCTTTGTACATGCTTTTTTAGACAATATAAGAAAATGGAAAATTTGTAATAGAGCTCTCAAAAAATTTCAAAAATATACATTACGATCCCAAACTTTTGATTTGTAACAACCACATCCCAAACATTTCCAATAAATGTGCAGTAAAAGGTTCTTTTCCGAAAGCGCGTTAGTTGACCAAAATATCATCAATTAACTTGTATTTAATCATTTTAATGAAAGGAAAAGTAGGCACTTAACGTTCAATAATTAAAAAATAAGAAATAAGAAATCCTCCGGGGTTTAATCCGGGATGGTGAGAACGATGAGTGTTTTCTATTTTTATTTTTATTTTCTGTTTCTAATTTTCCTTTTTTAATTGTTTTAATTATTAAAAGTGAATAAATTATTTTTCACTTCATTAAAATTGTTAATCGATGATATTTTGGTCAACTAACATGCCTTTGGAAGAAAATCTTTTAAAGTTCCTTCTACCGCACATTTATTGAAAGGTTTTATCTCGTAATTACTAAGATTTAAATGTTCGAAGTTCGTAGTTTGAGACCATCACACTTTTTTTTTTTTTTTTTTGTCACAAATTTTTCTAAGAAAAATTAAAGAAATATTCATTTTTCAAATTTATTTTCAATAATTCATTTTTACTCACACATTTAATGAGTTACGCCCATTTGTGTAAAATATTACCAAAAAAAAAAAAAAAAAATTACACATCCACCCTCTCATTGTGTGTGCTCTGTATAACCTTGTGAAGTACGCCAAGTGCAATCTTTCTCGTTTTTACTATGCAACAGAAGTTCCACTTGTAAAAATATTACATGTAAATTAAATTAAGGGTCCGTGTGATTACAAAGATGTGTATGAAAAGAAAACGAATCTCAGAACATTGAATTGCTTAAAAATTATTTTATCGAGAATTGTCAATTACTGTATTTGATTGATATAATTCAAAATTCGTACAAAAAGCAAGAAAAATATTTATTTATTCTTGTGAATTGTATCATTTGACAAAAAATACCTAGATTATTCGAAATTCAAGCATAAAAGAACCAAATCAACATCATTTCTAACTACACCCACAATCCACCTGGTAAAGAACCTCTAGAATTTGGTAATATTTGCAAAGATTTTGAAAAATATATTTTAGCAGCCATAGTTCAATTTTCCTTATTCAATTCCACCCAAAACATGAGAGAAATATGATTTCATTTTTCCAGTAATATAAAGAAATTAATTTTAAGCACGAAAAATATAAAACAGCTCTACACGGATTTAATTAAACAAAAGTAATGCTTAAATAACAAAGAATCATTAAACAATAGAGTACACAAAAGGTAAAAATAAATAATTAAACAATAACAGGAAAATTAATGAAACCCTAATGTTCATCCGCACTGGAAAAGTAAAACTTCCGAACTAAATCAGCAGATCTACAGCAAAATAGCAGCAAAGAACAACACTGTAGCCGCAGATCCAGCAATCGGTACTCTATTCAAAGTAGCTGCGTTGGGTGATGAGTTAGGGGCTGCGCCACCGGGTCCGGCGGCGATTGATGGAGGATTAGCGGTAGATCCGGCAGGTGCACCGGAAGGAGTGGGAGGAGCAGGTGGAGAAGTCAATGGAGATTCAGAAGGTGATGAACTTGTAGGAGCTGAGGCTGGTGGACTGACGGCGGCGGATGGTGAAGGAGTTGGTGTAGTAACCACCTTAGGTGGAGATGCAACCGGAGCCGCTGTTGGAGACGCCTTTGGGGTGGCGGCTGGAGCCTGAGCTAAAGCTGATGCAGCCAACAATGCGAAAACCAAAGCCACCATTGATCTAGAGCAAGCCATTTTCTCCCTGAATAGCTGAAATTTAGCAAAAAGGAGAGATATGTATAGAACTTGAGAAATGCTAATCGTAGAGGGAGTACTCGTGTATTGAAGCATAAGTGGAGGAGGAGGCTATTTATATACACGCAGATATAGAGAGAAGGAGAGAAACCTCTGATGAGAGAGAAAAAATTAAATGTTATTAATTAAAATTATATTACTTAAAGGCTTAAATTGTGGCTAATCATTGATGGACAACTCAGCAACAGATAAAGTTAGATAGCTAAGAAAAGGGAAAGGTTTTTACCGTTGGATGAACTTTGATGGATACGAATGGATCTGAAACCGTACGCGTGTTTTCGTTGCTTTAAGGTTGAGGTTGATCTAGGGCATTTGAACGTTGGGAAATTTTTAGTGACCGTTGTGATTGGCACGTTGAATGATGATGACAGCACAGATAGTGGCCTTCATGTGTCATGCATAGATTATTGTTTCTTGAATTTAAAATTTGTTGGCTTTATAATGGTCAATACTAATCATTGTCAAATTTGATAGCTTTATAATGCTTAGAAAAGGCAGAGGAACAGGGTAAAAAACTGAACGCCTGCCTCCCGTTGAGGGGGCTGCTGTGCAAAGATTAGGGATGCCAACCGAGTTTGTCGATTTGAATCGTTCGTCGCTCGGCCCGCGAAAAGTTCGAGCTGGCTCGACTCAGGGCTCGATAAATCCGAGCTAAGACTCGATTCGAACCCTATTTTTGGGACATGGGTTTTGCTCGAGCCGACCCATGAGCCCTCGAGCCTTTATTAAAAAAAAGAAAAAAAAAACACTTTGTGGTAGTAAAATGCTGCCTTGAAAGGCCGCAGCTAAAAAAAATAAAAAGAGAGAGAGAGAGAGAGAGAAATGGGCTGGCTAGGCTCGGCTTGGAAAGGTTCGAGCCAAAAGCTTGGGTCGAGCCTAAAATTTTTGGGCAAGCTTTTGCTCGACCCGACTCGAGCCAGAAAAAAAGCTAAAAAAAAAAAAAAATCGAGCCGAACTTGAGCCTCAAATTTCGACTCACGAACCGGCTCGACTCAACTTGACTCGTTGACATCCATAGCAGAGACAGAGGGACAAGGTGGGAAACAATGTACAAAAACAGGGCGCTCACATGCAATCCCCCATTAGAGCCCTCCAATAGGGGGGCGCCATGTGGGCTTTGTCCCAAAAGCAAGTTTTGCTTCAAAATTTTTTAGTACTATAGAAGTTAGGGACATAAGCATTAAGTAAGCCCCTATTTGTATAATTTTAATTTTTTTGTTGTTTTATTTTATACTAGTCTGCGTCTTGTGCGTTGCACGAATTTGTATTTATTTTAGTTTTATTAGTGTAGAATTTATAGATTGTACAAAAAGTATTTGAAAATAAGAAATGTTTGTTTGATTCTCATCTTTTGGTCGACTGTATATTTTATGTCACGATAATTTATTTTTATTCTTATAAATAAGTATAATGAATGTTGTGATTGTATATATGTCAACGATAATTTATTTTTAATTATTTTTTGTTTAGTGTAGATGAAGATATTTTTTTTATTATCTGATATTGCAAATAAGTTGTAAATTGAATTTCGCAAAATGCTTTTCTTTAGCAACTTCGATTCGAGAGGTTATACTTGTAGTTCAAAAATAACACATGCAGTTGTAAATTGAAAGAGAATATCTACATACAAAAATATTTAAATAACAAAATCAGGTACGCACGTAAAATAATTTGAAGTGGTACTTACTGAATGATTAGCTCCCTTGTTGGTGTAAGAATTAGAACCTTAATAGCAAACCTATTTTTCGGACGATACAACAGTCACTCCAAGGTTGGTAGGGCAAAAGAATTTGAAAAAAAATTTTAAATAAATTTTATTCGAAAGAGAAAAGAATTAAAAAGAAATTTAAATAAATTAATAAAAAAATCAATTATTTATAAAGTAAAATTTTCAATTTTAATTAAATAATATTTATATATTCTTCACTTAATTTTCATAACTTTATTTTATTTTTTACTTCTAAATAATTTTAAACGAATTTTTTTACTTATATAAGTAATTTTTACATATATTAGAAATATCTTTTGTTGATATGTTTATTTTTAATTTTTTTTTTTACTAAAAGTGATATATATATATAACGGAAAGTACCAAAAAAAAAATTAAATAATCCTCCGTGCACGGAGATCACACTATATATAATTATTTTTAATTCTTTTCTCTTCAATTTTTTTAACTTACAAATAACTTTTTCATTAAAACTGAAAAATTAAGTTTTTTTTGGAAGAGAAAAGAATTAAAAAGAAAAAAATAATTGATTTTTTTAAGAAAAAAATGTATTTGTTAACACATACGTTTAATCTCCGTTTAACTATTTGCGATATTTATTTAGATCATTCGATGTTTCTACGATATAGTTCTCAATATGAGTTTCGAGAGAATGTAAAATATTTATCTATTCGATTATCGTATAATCGTCGATGAATTTTTAAAGTTAGCTTGTTATCGAAAATTTCGAAATAGTAATAAAATAATTAATTTTTTAAAGAAAAAACGAATTTTGCTTATTTTTTTAACACATACGTTTAATATCCGTTTAACTATTTTTGATATCTACTTAGATCATTCGATGTCTCTACGATATAATTCTCAAAATGAGTTTCGAGAGAATGTAAAACATTTATCGATTCAACTATCGTACAATCGTAGATAAATTTTTAAAGTTAGCTTGTTATCGAAAATTTTGAAATATAGTTTGAAAATGCCTACTTTGACGTCCCATAACATTTGCTATGATTGAACGTTTCACGCACCGTTAACGACGTACAATACTATGTTGCGAGTATTTCAAAACGATATTAAGAATGTAATATTTCAATTTCGTTATATATATATATATATATATATATATATATATATAATAAAAAATTTAAAAATATATATACTTAAAACTTTGAGTTAATGTTTAATCTAAAGTGATATTTAGATAAATTTAATTTAAAAAATTCAATATTACTAAAAATATTACTATAAAATTATATATTGTCTGAAATTATTCTCGTTTTTTCCTAAAAAATCAATTTTTATATTAATATTTATTATTTTTCTCAATACATCATTTTGCTCAAAAAATTTATGCGGTATGACGTAAATTTTTTTTTCAATTATTTAAAATTTCATTTTTTTTCAAGTGGGGAACAAGAAAAAAATTTTCGTCATACCACATAATTTTTTTGAGTAAAATGATGCATAGAGAAAATTGTTGCAAAAAAAAAAAAATAAATAGTAATAAAATAATTGATTTTTTTAAGAAAAAACGACGTATACGCATTTTTAACCCATACGTTTAATTTCCGTTTAACTATTTTCGATATTTATTTAAATCATTCGATGTCTCTACGATATAGTTCTCAAAATGAGCTTCGAGAGAATGTAAAACATTTGTCAATTCAACTATCGTACAATCGTCGATGAATTTTTAAAATTAGTTTTTTATCGAAAATTTTGAAATAATAATAAAATAATTAATTTTTTTTAAGAAAAAACGACTTATGCTTATTTTTTTAACACATACGTTTAATATCCGTTTAACTATTTTTGATATCTGCTTAGATCATTCGATATTTCTACGATATAGTTCTCAAAATGAGTTTCGAAAGAATGTAAAATATTTATCGATTCAACTATCGTACAATCGTAAATGAATTTTTAAAGTTAGTTTGTTATCGAAAATTTTGAAATATAGTTTGAAAATGCCTACTTTGACGTCCCATAACATTTGCTATGATTGACCGTTTCACGCACTGTTAACGACGTACAATACTATGTCGCGAGTACTTCAAAACGATATTAAGAATGTAATATTTCGATTTCGTTTGATATCCCGTAATGAACGTGAAAATGAACACAAAAATATAAGTAAAAAAAAAAATTCAATTTCTCATGGTCTCCGTGCACGGAGGCTTCCTCTTATTTTTTTTTCTTTTTTAAATAAAAGTCAATACTATTTTATACTATATAAACTAATTACAATGATATATATATATATATATATATATATCATTGTAATATTTAGATAAATTTAATTTAAAAAATTCAATATTACTAAAAATATTATTATAAAATTAAATATTGTCTAAAATTATTCTCGTTTTTTCTTAAAAAATCAAATTTTTATTACTATTTATTATTTTTTCGCAACATTTTTCTCAATACATCATTTTGCTCAAAAAAAATTATGCGGTATGACGTAAATTTTTTTTTCAATTATTTAAAATTTCATTTTTTTTCAAGTGGGGAGCAAAAACGACGTGTTCCTTCGTGCATGGAGAAAAAAATTTCGGTCATACCACATAATTTTTTTGAGCAAAATGATACATTGAGAAAATTGTTGCAAAAAAAGAATAAATAGTAATAAAATAATTGATTTTTTTAAGAAAAAACGACGTATACGCATTTTTAACACATACGTTTAATCTCCATTTAACTATTTTCGAAATTTATTTAGATAATTCGATGTCTCTACGATATAGTTCTCAAAATGAGTTTTGAGAGAATGTAAAATATTTATCGATTCGATTATCGTACAATCGTCGACGAATTTTTAAAGTTAGCTTGTTATCGAAAATTTTGAAATAGTAATAAAATAATTGATTTTTTTTAAAAAAACGACTTATGTATATTTTTTAATACATATGTTTAATCTCCGTTTAACTATTTTTGATATTTATTTAAATCATTCGATATCTCTACGATATAGTTCTCAAAATGAGTTTGGAGATAATGTAAAACATTTATTGATTTGACTATCGTACAATTTTCGATGAATTTTAAAAGTTAACTTGTTGTCGAAAATTTCGAAATATAGTTTGAAAATGCCTACTTTGATATCCCATAACATTTGCTATGATTGACCGTTTCACGCACCGTCAACGACGTGCAATACTATGCCGCGAGTACTTCAAAACGATATTAAGAATGTAATATTTCGATTTCGTTTGATATTCCGTAATGAACTTGAAAATGAACATAAAAAAAAATTTCTCTAAATTTTGTCTTCGTGCACGGAGACAGTGGAGACACCTACCCCCCTGCATGGAGGCCCCAACAAT